CTGGTAGTATTGACTGTGTGTAAAGGACCAAGGAAATTACTCTGGCATCTCTTAATCTTTGTTTGTTTGCTTATTTTTGGTATGGTTTATTTGGCTGTGATTATATCCAACTATAGCAAAATCTGGTTCATATTTCTTTATTAAGGGCCACAGTAATTTTAGAAGAAATGTCAAATTCCTTAATTTATTAATTCATTTATTAAGTCAGCCTCTCAACAAGTATTGATTGAGCCCTTCATATATACCTAGTTATTGGCCTTGGCTCTGGGTGTATAGCAGATATAAATATAAGTCCCTACCCCTGTGGAGCTTACAATATACATGTCAGTTAATATACTAGCACAATATCCCTAAAAAAGAAGAAAATGGGAAGAGTTAGACATAACTTATTCCTAGGAAACTCCTGCCAGCTTCTAGTGATTAGTGTCTCTTAAATCTTTCCAAATCCTCCATATAATGTCTTTTCTCTGAATATCCTGGAGATTGTTATCAAAATTTCTGTCGTTTGGTTTCTGTGATCTTTCTCTCTGGCTTTAAAAAATGGGACAAGGTATGCTTATCTTATTGTCTGTCATATCTCCATCTTCATAATCTCTCCTATCTAAATTGTATCTGAGTAACCTAGCCTTAATTATCTTAGTTATATCTACCATCTATATATTAGCAAATCTTCAAGTTCTAGGACATCATTAAAACTTGTTAGTATAGCTAAATTCATTCACTGATTTTTTTATTCTTTTGTGCAACTTTTTTTTAGGATATACTTATTTGCTCATTGTATAGTGTGAGCAGGATAACTTTAGGTTAAATTTTGGACAAAAAAGGATATAATATACGCACACTTACACCACATTTGCAAAATTTATAGGAAGTGAACACACGTTCACATATACACATATATGCTAAAATGAAATCTGGTAGGATATGTGCCAGATTACAGTTGGTATCTCTAAATGGTAGGTATAGGCTCCTTATTTTTTGCTCATCAGAATTTTCTAATTTTTCTGTAGTGAATGTATTACTTATGAGGGGAGGCATTTAAAAAGGGTTTTTGTTTTTTTTTTTTAAAGATTTTATTTGACAGAGCATGCACAAGTGGGAGGGGGATGGGGCAGAGGGAGAGGGAGAAGCAGACTCCCCGCTGAGCAAGGAGCCCGATGCAGGGCTCGATCCAGGACTCCTGAGATCATGACCTGAGCCGAAGGCAGACGCTTAACCAGCAGAGCCACCCAGCCGCCCCAAAAGGGATTATTTTTCATTGAAATTTTTTATAATGTTTGGTGAGATGGTACACTTTTCACAAGACATGAGATTTAGGGAGGAGAGGAAGATTTAATAGAGTTAGACAGCAGTATAAAGAGATAGTTGACTTGATTTAAAAACTTAATTTTGTAATGATGTAATGTATGGTGATTAACATAACATAATGAAATAAAATTAAAAAATACTTAATTTTGATGGCAGTATACATGATATAAATTTCAAAATATATAAAGGTAAACACTGCTGGGTTTTTGGGGTAGTATAAACTCAGATGGGGAATTTAGCATTCCCATGCATATTTTATACTGATGGGGTTATGTGTATGTATGTATATCTTCATAAACAATATAGGTAGAATTATTTTGCATATTAAATTTTAGAAGTGGAATCATGGTATGTATCATTCTACTTTTCTTTCAGCGTATTTTTTAGATCCTATTTAATGTCTGTTGATAGCTGTAGATCTAGTTAATTTAACTGTTCTATAGGATTTTGTTGTATAAATAGGAGCTGCTTCCTTTTTTATAGTTGTGTAGAATTTTCATTGCATAAGTTTAATATAGTTTAATCTCATTATTGATGCACATTTAGATTTTTGATTTTTATGATAATATAAACTGTGTAAATGCATATGTGTTTAAGCATATGTGCAGGAATACCAGTAGGATAAGTTCCTAAAAGTAAATTTCCTGAGTTATTTTACAGTCTGTACGTTTTACATTTTGATAGGTGCTATTATAGATGCTGCATAATAGTTGTGTTGATTTACACTTTCGCCAACAATATACAGGAATGCTTATCCTCTTGTCAGCGCCATATGGCCTTTTAGTTTTGTTGTTTCAGACATCTATTTCAGTCCATTCTCATTCATCTCAACCTTTCTAAGTTGATTGACACATCAGTAGGAACTTCTCTTTGCCCTTTGACCTTGTTGCTTCCTCAATGTTAGGTACATTATTTTCTGGTTGTATTATTTCTTTATTTAAATGGTCTTTATCTGATGGTTTGCTTTTTCTATAGTTTACATTTTAAATTTATATCCTCAAAGTGTCTTTTGTATTTTTTTAAGAAATACTGGAAAGTTCACAGGTGGGCACAGTCAATAGTGAAATTAAAATGAATTCGTTGGAGAGACTAGTAGTGTTTATGAAATGTACTGTCTCTGTAGGTCCTCTCCTTTAGATTGGTTTCAGATATGAATTTTATTATGTGTCAAGAATGGTAGAGAATTGTGGTATTTCTTCAGCCTTTCTGAGCCAGCCCTCTAGTCCAGGTGTTTCTTTGCAGAACATGCTGTGATGACTTTAGGAAATATATATGCAATTCCTTCATGGCTTGCAGATGGCTTATGATTTAGGAGCGATGACAATAGGAGGAGAAATAAAAAAGGAGAAAGAATTATATACCAGGTAGCAGTTAGTATTTTAAATTCCTTTGCTGTGACTTTCTTCTAACTTTTTTTTTAAACCTTCCTCATTGTTTTCCCTAGATCATTTCTTGAAAGCAGCTCGAAGGTAGAAATAGGTAATCCTCTGTTTAAGTCAGAAGATGGCCATTTTATTTATAATTTGTCTATTCAAGGGTGTTCATTACATATGCAGTGGGGTGAGGTAGGGAGGCAGTGATAGGAAAAACTTGAGGGTAGAAGTTTAACTTTCTTTTTTTTTAAAGGTAGTTGGTATCTATTGCCTTGTCTTTGTTTTCTTCCTGTATTTTCTCAGTTTGGGGAAGTAAAAGGAGATTTTGGTTGAAGTTATAGGGTTTGGTTTGAGACTAGGCTAGCTGAAGTAAATAGACTGTGAGTAACGCTATTGGTCTCTTTTAGTTTCTGGTGTGTTCCCATCATTCAGAACAGTGCCTGGGATTGAGTGAATACTTATTGAATGAATGAAGGAGCACATGCATGTGTGAATGAAGTAGACTGGGCCTCTAATTTAGTAGGATGAGGTTTGCAACCTTCATAAGGTTTCAAAGACCTGAACTCTGTTCCAGGAGTTACAGGGTAGGCTGAACCTTTTCTATCTTAGTTTTCCTGATCCAACTCTACAAACCACAGTGCCTTCAGACTTCCTTTCTTGGTCTATAATTATGTAATGCACTCAGTGCCTATTAGAATTACATATATAAAAAGCACTCTGCACGGTGTCTAACATATAGATGGTAGCTTATTACTATTCTGTTATTCTAATTTAGTAGGGTGAGGTTTGCAACCTTCATAAGGTTTGAAAGACCTGAACTCTGTTCTAACAGTTACAGGATAGGCTGATTCTTATCTATGTTAGTCTTCCTGATCTAACTCTACAAACACAGTGCCTTCAGACTTCTTTATCTACGATTCTGTAATGCACTCAGTGCCTGTTAGGATTATATAAATATAAAGCACTTAGCACAGTGTTTGACATATAGATGGTAGCTTATTATTAATTCTAATTCAGTAGACAAACTATTCATTTCAGGTTCCTCAACTTACATAAAACATATTTACACTAAAGTTTATCTAATTATAGAATTTACTATATCATGGGTATTTATCAAGAGCATAGTAGTTAACAAAGAAGTGAATTGTGATTATGGGAGTTGGGGGAGGGTCTAGGTAGCGGGATCAGATCCTTCTCATGTGTGTTGCCTGTTGCAAGAAGTTTCTACTGTATGTTCTTCTAAACAGTTCAGGTGTAATAAAGTAAATAGCCTCTACCATACCCAATTCATCTCACTTTTTCTTGTTCCTTCAAAATGAAGAAATGTCTGAGGGTGATAAGATCAATTACTGCTCTAAAGTTTCTTCAGTGGTTTCCCACTATGCTGACTAAATAAACCTAAATCCTTACTATGGTTTCAAGGGTCTGTCTTTTACAAGCCCTGTCAACCTCTTCAGCTTCTCTCATTTTTATTCTCTTTGTTTTAGCAATTCTGTCTTGCTCTTCAGTGTGTGCACTGGTTTTATTCTCAACACTTGGTTTTTGTGCTTAACGTTCCCTGTGTTTGACTACCCTCCTTACCCGAGGTTATCACGTGGCTTCACTTTATTTATGTCTCTGCTTAAATATCACCTCCCCAAAGAACTCTTGCTTGTCATCCTATCTGAATCAGTCTTTTTCTCATGGCCCTGCCTAGTGTATCTGTAACAAGTTACTGGTTTATTTTTATCTGTATTTCTCCTGCTAGTATGTGAGCTGTAGAAGTAAAGACCTTGTCCGTCTTTGAGTTTATGAGGAAGAGAGTGAATTGGTAGGTTGCATATTGGAAATGCTAAATGCTAAATCTAGGAATCTAAATGTTTCCAGTAATTAATATCAGGAAAATTCCTGTTCAGGATTTTAAAAACATTCTGCTGTTAATCAGGAAGTGGATAATAAACAGTAAGTACTTGCCCATTTCTGAGCTATCTCTCTGATCTCATCTTCTGCTACTATCCCTTGCTTATAGTTTATCCAGCCAGACTGGCCATTTCGTTGCTCCTCAGGCAACTAAATGAGCTTTCACCTTGGCATTTTGCACTTGCTGTTTCTTCTGCTTGCAGTAGTCTCCCAGATATTCACATGGCCCCAGAACTTCTCATTCCTTATTTAGTTTTTGATAACATCTTATTTTCTTGAAAACATGTGCGAAGAGCAGTGCAAGTTTGTACTCTCTAAACACAATATCCATTTTGATAGTTGTTATTATTGACTTAGATGAAATGTGATTTTTTAATATTACTTGTTACAAATATCTTAATTTTTTTTGTTTTAATGTAGAAAGAGGGGAAAAAAGAGCGAGCTGTGGTGGACAAGGTGTTTTTTTTAAGACTCACACGGATTCTGAAAATCATGGTCCCTAGAACATTTTGTAAGGAGGTAAGTCTTAAGAAATTATAATGTTAAGTGTTTAACTTTTAAGGTTACATGAGATCAGAACAGTAAAATTATAAAGCTTTTGTTATACTACAGATCAAATGTTTTTTTGTGTAGGTAATGAAGACTACTAAATTTTTTTTCTTTGAATTATCTGTTATCATTGTAAGTACCCTTGTTGTTTGGTGCCAGATTTTAAATAGTTTCCTCTTGTTTATGAAATAGTATTTCATTATGTTTTATGTGAAATACTAGAGTACTTCAGTGCAGCTACCCTAAATGGTGTTGTTTTATTATAGCTAAATTCTGTTAATAAAATCAAGATTAAATTTAGAAAGACAACCTTTTTATTACATTGGGATGTTCATAAGTCACATTGATATGGAATATGTTTGAAGGTTGTTCTTTTATATGTGATTAAATATGTTTTGAGATACCCAAAATGATACATGAATTCCTCCAGTATTTTCAGGAAGTGAACTGGTTTAAGGAATAAAGTTTTATTATCCTTTCCTTTGCCCTTTTATCAAGATTACCTTTATCATTATCTGAGGAGTATTTTTAATGATTAAAAAATAAGATAATGCTGTGTTCTCCATCTTTAATCACCTTTTGTAGAACGAGAAATATCATCACCTTTGTCTCTTTCTCCTCCCCATAATTCATCCTTTCAGCCACTGGTATTGGGTCATTTTTCATTCTAAACATTCTTAACATGGATATTGTAGTGTTCATTAGTCTTAGTTCAAAGAAGCTCCTCTTTTTTATCTTCTCTGCCAAATTTATTTTCTTGAAATACAATGTTTTCCATTGTTCAAATTTTAAAAACCATTAGACTTATAATCTATTAGTAGCCACAAAATGATAAGATATTCCCAAAGCACTGTAATCCCCAAAGAGAACACACATTTCCCCATCACACTGGACTTGCTCTCTTTCTCCCTCACTTCTGCATCATGGCTTGTGGGTTCCACCCTTACCGACTTCTAAAACATAATTTAATAACATTTTTTCCCTAATAAGATAGAGATAAAATGTGTTCCTTGAAGAAAAATTAGTAAATGTGGATATATTTTTTTTTCTTCTTGATACCTCTTAGCCTCTCACTCAGAAGTTCTGTCAGTGTTTTGATGTCTGTCACATATTTTAATAAAAATGAGATCACACTGAGACTTTTTAAATCTTCTCCCTTCCTTATTTTTAAATGTTTTTTCCTTGAGTTTCTCTTAAATTAATCTCCCTTTCCATTCCTACTGTCCTTGCTATATTTTTCTTACCTGGATTATCATAATTTCTTAATTGGTCCTTTTGCCTTTTATTGTTTTCTTAATAGTCTTTTTTCTAAAACCCTAATAAAAGCATTTGTCTTCTTTTTTCTTGTAGGGTAAATCACGACCTGACTCTGACCTTCCTTTCACTATCATCTTCTTAGAAGAGTCTTTGCTATTTTGTAGTCAGGCTCTGTGCTCTTATGATTTCATGACCTCATGTCTGTGACATCCTGCCCCCTTCCCCCCAACAAAAACAGATGCTTATGAAAAATAGCTTCATGCTCGTTATTTTCTTGGTGAAGTTTTCTCTTTCTACAGCCCACCTGATTGAAGAATTACTTAAAATACAAGCTTCTCTGGAAAGATTTGTGTATTCCCCTCTTAATCAGTTAACAGTTCAGTGCTCATTTGACTTTTTAGCAGGGGTTTGCTGAGTGTAAAATGAATGTGAGACCTTGGATAGATCTCTGGGGGTTGGTAAGGGAGATACCAGGGCCTAACTTGGCCAAGCTCCCAGCTTTCTCTGGGCCTAGCCATGCTGCAGAGTCATGTTACACATGATCTTTGAGAATTATAAAAATCCAAGTTTAACCCCAGTTCACTGGGGGTTTCACTTAGAAATAAACTGTCATAGAAATCACAGAAGATTGGAAGTAGGGATAGAGAGACTAACTGATTTAGGAAATAGAGAAATGATAATACTGCATATGAATATGTGGAGTTCATACATATCATGAGGTGAGGGACTGCCTAAATCAGTGCAGATCTTTGGTTTCTGACATATTCCACAAACCTACTAATCATGGAGATAGTAGTGATTCTAAGGACATCCTTTGTAGAAAAAGGCATTTCAGGATTGTCAGTAATCAAAGTTTGCCAGATTTTGCTAAAGTGAGACAAGTAAAGTTGGTACTTATTTCAAGGAACAGTTAAGCTGAGAACAGAAAATGAAGGAAAAAATAAACGATCTTTGTCTAGTGTTACCTTTATATGTCAGATGATTAATTTAGGATTGAGACTGTATTTAAGGTCTGAATTAAAAGTTAGCATTAGGGGCGCCTGGGTGGCTCAGTTGGTTAAGCGACTGCCTTCGGCTCAGGTCGTGATCTTGGAGTCCCGGGATCGAGTCCCACATCGGGCTTCCTGCTCGGCAGGGGGTCTGCTTCTCCCTCTGACCCTCTTCCCTCTCATGCTCTCTACCTCTCATTCTCTCTCTCTCAAATAAATAAATAAAATCTTTAAAAATAAATAAATAAAAAATAAAAGTTAGCATTACAATTAAAGTGACATCTACATATAGTATTTATTACAATTGAAAGATTCTTTTGTTGCCAATTGAATACCTGACTTTCAGATGGTGGCTGGGGTAGGAAGATGGGATCTTTGCTTTCTGGCAGACTTTGGGGTAGCAGCTATCACTGCTCAGTTACAAAAGCTTTCTTTGACATCGTCTTTTCTTCTGGCTTCATTCTGCCTCGTCTACACCTAAAGCGCTATATTTCTAGTACCTTCACCTTTTTTAAAAACAGTATTTGTTTTTGCAAAAATTACATAATAGTGCCACTCAGCACCATAACTTTGACTTTAAATATATTATCCAACAAATGTCCCTGCTGCCACATCCCTCTTCCCTGACTCTAGCTTCTACAGTACTGTCATTCTTCCAATTTAGAAGAGTAAGTAGGGTCAGCTTTGAATGTGTGTGTGTGATAGAGTTTGGAGGATAAGTTCTCAGGTCCCTGAGAGAGATGGACTCCTGACTCAGCCTCTCATCTGTTTTCCTCGCTAATCCATCTCCCGCAACAGCGTTGGCTTAAGTAAAGTTCTCAAAATGGCACTTTTTAACACTTTGTTTAATCCTGCTAAATTCTGCTGGATGTGCAATACTGTTATTCATATGGTTTCAATCTATTTCCTATTTCTCATTAAATCCTTTATCTTTTTTTTTTTTTTACTCATAATCTTCCTCCTCTCCTTTCTTTTCCTTGGTCTGTTTAATGTATTTCTAACATCATAACCCTCTTTCGTCACTCAGGCCTTCCTATCCTGCCACTTGTTACATGAAGTCATGCAAATATACTTATCTACTGTGCTGTCTTCTTTTTTATGTGTAAATCTTGTCTTAATCACTAAATTGAGGGCAGGGCAGTATTAGAGATTTTTCCAACAAATTGAGCCAGATTTATTCCATTAGGCCAATTTTAGCCTTCAGTATTTGCTCAACTGTACATTAATAGTTACTGTCATTTTTCTTTATTAGACTTCTGTACTAAAAATATAAGACCATCACAGTACACTGTGACTCAGGGAATCTAAGTGATACTGCTAGCTTCTGTTAATTGTATGAAGGCAAGTCATTGGACCTGCCTGGGATTCACTTTTGAATTCTGGGTGAGAAAGTTAGGTTAAATGATGTATTAGGCTTTTTTCATGTCTATTTTTAAATTCTCTTAAAATTATATTTAAAAATTGCCTATAGGTAAAATGTCAGCCACTGTATTAAAGCTAGAATAAAGATTTGAACTTAAAAAAATCTTTACCAAGGCAATGTTTCTTTTAACTTTTTAAAAATGCATTTATTTAGTTGACTATACCTGGTTTATTTTAGACAGGTTACTTGGCACTTATTGCTGTTATGCTGGTGTCTCGAACATATTGTGATGTTTGGATGATTCAAAATGGGACACTCATTGAAAGGTACTTTTCTATTCACCTTCCTCCTATATGTACAAAATACTCATTTGTCTCATATTTAACATTATCTTAAGCAAGAAGTAGATTCTCAATTAGGTATAAGTACTTAAGTCAAATTATATATTTGTTCATTTACTTAACAGATGTTTATTATCTCCCATGTGCCAGGCACCATGCTACTCTGCGATAGGGATACACTGGTGAACAGGAGAGACTCTGTACCAAGCCCTGCAGAGCTGACAGTTTATAGAGAATTAGGGACAAGGAAACAAATTAAAATGCAGTATAATAAATGCTGTAGCGGGGTTTAAAAAAGTCACCAAATTGGGTGTCTGAAATTAATGAGATAATTTGGAGGAAAATATCAAAGCATTTCAGAGAATCATATTGAGAATGTTTATTAGAAGTAAAAAAACAGTTTGTAGACATTTCCTTCCATTTCTGAAGTTACTGCTTTATGTTTTTTTCATTATAGTCTTTGTACATATTATCACTGTAACTGATAATTTTGAATTTAAAAACTTACAGTAACAGTTGGGATATTAACATTTATCTGTTAAAGATTTTATTCCTCATGATACCAATTTGAATGTCAGAGTAAAACATTTTTCTTGGAATTCTGTTTCCTGGTATGCAGTATTTTATCAGAAAATTTCTTAAAATACTTAATCTAATAACTTTTTGAATCTTGATTTGCTTCTCAGGATTTGTAGGATGAGGAAGAACGCTTTATGCACATGTTTTTGACTCTCTACGAGAATAAAGAAAATTATATGCATAGGATTAAAACCCTAACTACGTGCCTCAGAACATGTATAATTGTGTAGGCTCTTGTATTCAACACAGGTCTCCCTGAAACCTGTGCTCAGTGCCCTGCCTTTTTCTTCTAATCAAAGTAATACATGAACACAGCTAAATGTCAAATAATCTTACTGGACTTAATCACAAACACATCAATTCTGTGCCCCATTCTTCCACTTGTAACTTCCATTCCCGGAGCCAGTTGTTTTCTTTTTACTGTTCATCTCTACCTCTGCATTTCAGTGTAACTTGTGTTACTGTCCTAGGTTTTTCAGTTTTAGAGAGTATGCATTTATTTCCTACTTTGAAAGATGAGAATTAGCTCTTTTATACTCCTACCCATGCCCATGCTCATCCTCTTGTGTTTTACTTTTTGTCATATTTTTTGTTAAGTCAGAATTTATTGTTTACAATGATTTTGCCTGTTTACCGTGAGCCACATTCTGTACTTTGGTAGTTTCTTTGATATACAACTTTTTGTTTTTCCTGGCACTTAAAAATTACAAGTTTTTGTTTGTGCCTTAGTTCTTTGCCTACTTCTTACTAATTCAGCTCAAGCTTATTGACAACACTGTAAAATCTCAGTATTGTAATATGGTCATACACACCAGGTGAGCTTTTGATTTTTGTCTATTACCACGCCACCCTATACGAATGATAGTTTCTTGTCTTTCTTTCCTAATCTGTATTGATTGCACTTTAAACCCATTAAAGAGCAATCCAGTTTGAAGTTGCTTTAATTATGATCTTGGGAATTTCTTTTATCTTTCTCTTTTGCGTTAAATAACCTGTTTTCTGAATACTTTGTCTTCCTTTTCCTTAGTTTACTTTCATTTTGGCATGTACAGTGTTTTTCTGAGAAAGAGCACAATGGAAGTAAATTTTTGAGACCTGAACTCTTATACTTGATTGATAGTTTAGCTATATTTATACATTCCAACTTGGAAATCATTTTTTGTTAGAATTTTGAAAGCATCACCCTGTTGTCTTCTGTAGAGCTCAGCAGTTCTCAGCTTTGGTTGCAGGATGATTAGAATCATCTGGGGAATTTTGAGAACGATTAATACCTGGGCCCACCCCTAGAGATTCTGATTCAATTAGTCATTAGTTTTTGAAACATCCCGGGTGATTCTAATGTGCAGCCGTGGTTAAACACTGCTGGTCTAGCTGCCGTATTGGGTGTTGAGGCCCATTCCTGTGCTGCTTGCCCTTCCTTCGCAGTGGATCTGTTTTTATCCCCCTGTGGAAGCTTTTATGATCATTTTTTTTTTTATTGTTGATGTGTTGTTAGTGTTTAGGAATTTTACTGAATGTTGCTGTGAATTTTTTTTTTCCATTGTGTTGGGCACTAGGTGGGCTCTTTTCAATTGAGCAACTCATTCTGCATTCTGAGAAATTTTCTTGTGCTTTTAAAAAATTCTTCCTCTCCATTTTTTTCTGTATTTTTTCTGGAATCCTATTACTTGAGCTTTGGAACCCTAGACTGATCACCCGATTATCTTATAATTTCTCTACTGTTTCATCTCTGACATTTTCTAGGAAATTTCTTTTTACTTTATTATCCAGTGAATTTGTATTTGTCATCATTTTATTTCCAAGAGTTACCTGTTTCTATGGATGTTCAGTTTTAGAGCAATCATTCTTGCAAGTATGTGACTTTTTTTTTTTTTTTAGCTTCCTGCATTACTTATTTTTTCTTGGGCCTTTGTTCTCATTTTTGTTGTTCATGTTAGAGGCTTTCCTCAAGTTTGTCACTCTTGCCTGTCTATTCATCTTTAAAACTGAAGGGCTAAAAAACTTGCCAGAAGCCAAGTTGAAGGCTTACTGATTGTCTGGCCTCCCTGAATGGTGTTCAGAGAGTCTTGTCATTTTTGTGTGTGCCCTAGTGAGGCATCCTCTTAGAAATTCTAAGAAGTTTGTCATAAACATAATTGAAGTGTTTATTCGTTGCTGCTAGCATATCAGCTTTAGAAGATCAATTTTATTGCTAAGTTCTGCTTATATGAGCTGTGTGCATAAGTAATTTGAATCCTTTGTTTAATGTAGAGAAGGCATGTATCCCCTTTTACATGATTATAAAATTTTATATTTTTTCCTTTGATGACTTTATTATCTAAGTACCATATCTGTTAATAAAAATACAGGCTCCCCAAATACAGCATTGTTAATACCAAAAATATGCAGGTTATATCCACTATAAGCATCATATTAGCTATCTGTGTAGAAAGTCACATATTACATATAAAGAAACTTGCACAGCCTTGGTATAGTATAGAAGAGTACTTTATTTTTTAAAGTTTTTTCCCTTTTATTCACATTTTGTGATTTCATGTTTTTGTGATCCAGAAGAATAATATTTGTTCTTCTAAACTAGGGATTTCCAACTTTAATTGAATAGATGCTGATTTTAATTTTCTCATAGTCTTAATGTCCTGGAGAAAATGCATTGCCAAGAGTAGGTGGTACATTAACTGGTGATGATGGACAAGAGGAAGATTATTAGCTAGCATAAGCCAGCTTGTAATTCTACTAGATAGTCAATTTGTTGGGTACTCAGTTTTAACATTTAGATACGAGATAAAGAAAAAAATGAAAAAACAGACTATTTAAGAGTTTCTAAAAAACATTATTTTGATACTATTTAAACTTACAGAAAAGTTGCAGAAACTATACAAAGAACTTCCATATACTCTTTAAAAAAATTTTTTTTAAAGGTTTTATTTATTTATTAGAGAGCAAAATCAGGGGGAGTGGCAGAGGGAGAAGCAGGCTCCCCCCTGCGCGGAGAGCCTGATGTGGGGCTTGATCCCAGGACCCTGGGATCATGACTTGAGCCGAAGGCAGACACTTAACTGACTGAGCCACCCAGGTGCCCCACTTCCATATACTTTTAACCCATATTCATCAATTGTGAAACAGTCATTTTAAATTGTTAACTTTCTCCTTGATAAATATTTTTGACCTTCTGTATATGAGATCTTTGATATTTGGTTAAATTTAACATTTTTAAACATTATGAATTCACAATATGGAGTTGTATTTGAAAAATAACACATAGCTCTAATGTGCTACTAAAGCTGCATTATAAATTGATTTTTCTGTTTTTCCCTTATTGCTTCTTCCAAAGAAAGAGGTTTAGATTCATCTGTTTTTGCTACAAAAAATCTGAAAGAGACTCATTCTGGTCCTTAATGTACATTTTAATATCCTTTACATCTTTTGGGCTTATTAGCAGTCACTAAAGACTGTGGAGTATGGGCAAATTTTAATAGGACAGACTCCTTTAAGGTAGAACCTGGAAATTCCATGATAATGGAGGAGAATCCCTCCTTCCTTGTTGATGCTATAATGTAATTATAGAGATTTACTTTATTTTCACCCATTTGACTACAGGCATTTTAAAATCACTAAATTATCCTTTATAAAGATCCTTACATGTTTTAGAAGTAAAATGATATAAACTGTAAAATTACTCTTTATTATTATTTTTCTTTTACAGCGGAATAATAAGCAGAAATAAGGCTTTATTCAAGAAACCATTTTTTAAATTTATAGCTGCTACCCCAGTGGTAAACCATTGCTGAGTGATAGCATGCGCTTTACCAAATTTTCTAATCGTGTGTGTTTCACAGCGTGGGCAGCGCTAAAGCACTTTGGTTTTATGTGAAGTTTGGTTCAAACAATTTTAATCTAAACCTCTGAACTTTTTGCACTGTCTTAATTGCTCTTGTTTTTTTAATATTCTTATTTCTAGAAACAGCATTTTTATGTGGTTCTATTTTAGCTTTTTTCTAGTTCAACTTAAATAAAAAAAATTATTTAGCACTTCTATCAAAATTGGACTATTAATTTTCCTATCAGTCTAAAGTAGCATTTCCCAAAGTATGTTCTATGGAATGCCAGCTATGGCAGAGGAAATGATCCGTGCTACAGAGCCCTCTCAAAGAGTTTTAATGCACAAGTTTTATGTTTCGTTAAGAGCTTTGAGAAGGTCTTTGATAAAGACATGTGTTAGCTTTGTTTAACCCAGGTTTTCTCAAATTTACTTGACCATGCACCTTCTTTGCTCTAAAAGACCAGTTAACATTACTTGGCATTATTCACCTACTCCCTCATAAAATCAGATTATTTCTGTATCCGATACTGTATCATTTTTTTGGTATGTGGAGCTAGGTTTAAATCATTTAGTGCAGTGTTTTTCAAAATATACTTTACTTACATTTGGTGGATGTTAATAAACATTCTTTGAAAAAAGATATGTGATCAGATAAGTTCTATCTTTCTCGTAGATCATAGATATATGGTACTCAGAGATCCTTTCCTTAGATGATATAATGGTTTTCAAAAAGTAGAATTCTTACTTAAATAACTTCTTAATGGATATTTTTAGAACGGATAAATATGTAAAATAAATTAAGAACATAAAAGAGGAGTTGGTCTAGTTGAAGTGTATTAACAGATCTGAAGCCTCTAGAGAACCATTCTGAGGCTCTAAGGAACCCCACTAGTCTACTAGAGAGGACTTAGAATTTAGTCCTCGCATCAGCAGATAAGGCTCCACGGGTCAAATCCCACTGCCATCTGTTTGGGAAAATTTTATTAGGACGCAGCCAGTCTCGTTCTTGGCTGTTTTTCCTCTGTAGTAGCAGCACGGAATAATCGGAACAGAGACCTTCTGGCCCACAAAAGCTTAAAATATTTACTCTTGACCTTTTACAGTGAGAGTTTGCTGATCTCTCAGGCTATCTCTGCCATTGGTTCATACAAATGAGCATCAGGATATTAAAATATTTAAAAACAAACACTAGTTTATTTCATCCATAATAACCCATTGCTGGCTCTCTAAAGTTGTTAGTTGTTTCTCCATCTAAACCCCTTTTGTGGCAGCAGAAGCCTTTTTTTAAATTACCATTTTTAAGAAGGAAAGAAGTAAGGAAATCATTGTTATTTAATTTTGCTATTTATAGAGTGATTTTTCAAGAAGCCTCTTTCAAATGATCAAATTTCAAAAGTTGGAAACATGTTTCTGTAAGAAAATGTTTTTCAGCCTCTTTTTTCTTATTGATTCTTTTGAATCAATAAAAACTTCCAAGAGTAATTTTAGAGCTTTACAGGTTTTCTTAGTGTTAAATATTGCTTCTTTTGCAACTAATGCATTGCATATGGTGGTTTGCAGTGGTATCATTGGTCGTAGCAGGAAAGATTTCAGGAGATACTTATTCAACTTCATCGCTGCCATGCCTCTCGTAAGTGGAATTCTTTAAAAATCTTTACATAGGGAATAATTTGGATCTTACTAAAATCTTCAAAGATTCTTTACTTCTTAAGTTGACTTTAAAGATTTATGGGAGTAAGTTCCTATTTCAAGTTTAGTTTTGTAACTTTTGGCAGAATTTTTCAATGTAAACCTTTATACTAGATAGTAAGAAAGGAGTGACTAGGTTGGGTTCAATTTCACTGTATACATAATGTGGATGTGTCCCTATGTGTTGTTTTGTTCTAACCTTTAGGCCAGGGTTTCTCTGATGTTTAGTAGCCTCCTACTTGATGGCAGTAGTGCCCCTCCTCCAGTTTTAACAACCCAGGACGTCTCCAGGACATTGCCCAATGTTGCGAGGAGGCTGAGGTGCCGGTAGGTGTGGCAAAATCACCCGGATTGAGAACCACTGCTTTAGGCCATAAACTATTATAGTAACTTGAAGCACTAATGTAGTTGAAGTGAAATTGGAATTTATCATCAATAAAGGCCAGTGTTTGGTTAAATCATTAGTGATATTTTTAGCTTGGTTCTTATTTTACTGCCACTATAAGAATTTTAGTATTATAAATATGGAAGTAAAAAAAAAAAGCTTGGTTATAAAATCCAGCTAATTAAAAAATATGTCCGAGACTTAATAAAGCTTGAGGATACATGTACATGGCTTTTAGACCTTTACAAAAATTGAGATAAGTGTAGATGTCATTAAAAGATCGAGATTCAGTGGACAACCATTGTTTTCTTGAGAAAATGTTTATGTAAATGTGAGTTTGGAACTATGGAAGAATTAATTTCAATATAATGATGGAAAAGAGAAGTAAAGATGACTCTAGAAATAATCTGGAAATGGTATTAGTTGTATGAAATTTATAATTTTTTTTTAACAAATGCAACTAGAATTTCATTGTCTAGGGTCATAGTGCTTGTAGTAGGAAACAGAAGATACAAACGTAGATGTCAGGACTCCTTTACATTGGATCCAAAGGGGACAGATTTGGCTTTTTGTTTGTTTACAAAAGAAGTATCAAGATGCTTCTCATAATTAATGATATTAACGTATTGTAAAATTGAGTTTCAAGTAGAGTTTTAATATATCAGCATAATATAGCCAATTGCATTTGGTTTAGCATGTTCTCTTTTATCTTTGTACACTGAGTAAAACAGAACTGAATTATATCAATTTGGACCTTCAGTTATAAAAATCATAGGATTTGGGAACAGAGCTAGTGCTAGAGAAATAAATTACAATTTTACAAGTAGAAATGAAGTAAAACTAGTAATATGTGTTTGTTTGTTTCAGATCTCTGTAATTAATAACTTCTTGAAGTTTGGTTTAAATGAGCTCAAACTGTGCTTCCGAGTAAGACTAACTAAATACCTCTATGAGGAGTATCTCCAGTAAGTGATAACCTATTTTTATATTAAAAATACTTGAATAGAAATGCTTATGATATCAGATAGAAGTTTTTCTTTTGTATTTGATATGTTTATCAAGGAAGTTCTCTTAGACCCAGAAGCACGTAGGCAAAGACCTCAGCAATTTAGACTCTAATCCTGGCTCTTCCATTAATTTGCAAGTCATCCTTCTCTGGACTTGCTTCCTTATTTCTAAATCTTATCTCTAAACAGTGTTTAAGGCCTCTCCCAGCTCCAAACTTTTCCGTTTCTATGAATTTGCACTATGTGCTAGAATGTGATTTTTTTTTTGTTTTTAAAATCATTAGTTTTAATGTCATTTTCTTACTCCTGTTTTAGAGCTTTCACGTATTATAAAATGGGAAATCTGGACAACAGGATAGCCAATCCAGACCAGCTGCTTACACAAGATGTAGAAAAGTTTTGTAACAGTGTAGTTGATCTGTATTCAAATCTTAGTAAGGTAAGTTTCTTTTATTTTCTTTTTAAAAATTGTTACTTTCTTGAGTTTTGAATCTTAGCAAATTTATATAGAATTGATTTGTGGATATAACAGCATATAACTAAGTGCTTTCATAAGAAAATTAGAGTTGTTATACTAGTTTTAACTACAGTTACTTAATTTTCTCTATTATTTTTGTGAGGTGCTTTGGCCAAGAACGAAGAATTTAGTGTCTTATCAAGATTTTGAATGAATTTTGCAGGCTGATTACAGTAAAAACAGAAATTTGAATTTTTGTCACTTGACGTGTGGACTTGTGGCAATTGTTAGAAATTGACCGTCAGTTTATGTTTCCAGTTGCATATCCGTAACAGTAGGCTGGGACTTCTTCCTGTCCATTTCTGTGCTTCAGTATCTCTAATTCTAATAGATCATTTGAGTAATGGCCAAAAAATCTTCACAAGATGCTAGTTGATTTCAGTTTTCTAATTTCTATTTCCCCCCACCCCCACCCCAGAATATCGCCAGAGCTCTTGGGACTGAGGATAGGCCTTAACCAGGTTTCTTCCTGCCAGTTTCCTCAGTTCTTACTCGTCTTGCTATCTTATATCTCACCACCGTTCACAGCTTTTGCTGTAGTCTTCTCATTAAGTCCTCTTCTTTGCCATTACCTCCTGCCCTGTCTGGGACATGTATGGGGCACCGGCAAGATCATCTACCCGGCATTTCCTCCCCTCTTCATCTTAGATGCCCTGTTTCCTACTCTAATCCACATAGCTGCTCTTAGTCTGGGGTGGGAGCTTGTCTCGGGGTGGGAGCTTGTCTCAGAGTGGACCAATTATAGTATCTTTGTCCCTGGCCACAGTTGATCCAGGTGCCCAGTCTACCCAGTGCTAGACACAAGAACTCTCTACAAGGGGCTGGGTCACATTGTAAAGAATAGGAATGCTCCTGCTTTTACCATGTGGATGGAAGGAGGACAGGCAGTTCTTAGAGAAGTGCCATGTATCCATAAGAGCTTCCCCCTCATGACAGGCCCGTTATTAGGATGCCTTTTCACTTCATGGCAAACTTTTTATTCAGCTTTCCAGAAGCCTTTGCTAACTGATTCCATACTCTAGGAACTCTGACAACTCTAAATTATTGATTAATTCAGCCTTCTTTTCTGCTCCCATTGCCACATTTTGAAGTTTGTTGTCTGTGTGGGTAGTGGCGGGGGAGTGTATATACAAATTTTTGTGTAATTCTTTAGACATTGTTATGTATCCTTTACATCTTGGCACTTGTGCAACTCTGTAGCTCAGGTCTTGTCACATTGGCAATAGGGAAAATATAAAATAATTGTAGTGGGCTCTGCACTACTGTATATTTACTGTTTTTAACATATTGTTTGAACTGTGACTTAAATGATGAATCATTTTTGTCAACTTTTAAATGTACTTACATTTTACAAGTATGTCTAGCTTCTTGATAGTTTTTAAGGCAAAAAAGAACAGGTTAATCTTCATAGAAGCCAGCAGAAAGGGGTGGCTATAGACTTAAAGTGAATGAATATAATGGTTTTTTGAAAAACATTTCAAAATATATACAGACTTTTGTTATGTCATTTGAGTTGTCTCTGTGTGTAAGGAGCAGTATATTAATGTCTTGTTTTAGTTCTAGAAGCTTGAGTTTTATATAAGAAAATTATAGGCTTATTCGATTATTTTAACATATGGATGTTGTGATAAAGTAATAGAATTAAACAATATTACGGGCAGGAAGAACCTTTCGTTTTATAGGTGTAGATATATAGAAACCAGAAAAGCTGGTACTAGATTTGAGGTTACATCTCAGGTCCTTTTTATTCACTGCACTGAGAAATTACTTATGTTACTAATGGTTAATTATCATAGTAGAACTACCTGAGTTGTTGGAAAATGGTAAATGTTTTTCCCCTTGTTGGTCAGTAGACCTTGGTCATGCTGTCTCTGTTTTAAGTTTCTTGAGAATAAGAACCGTTTTCTTTATGTATTTGTTGATCTATATACTGTTTATAGTACATTATATATGATGGGAACTCTCCATGTTGACAATTACGTGTTAAATGTTGAGTAGCATTTTATATTAATTGTGTTTTATTAGTAATCAATCTATACAATCTACCTCTTTTTAATTCTTTATCTTCTAATTACAGCCATTTTTAGACATAGTTTTGTATATCTTCAAGTTAACAAGTGCAATAGGAGCACAGGTGAGTTTAATCTATCTTTTAAATTGCTATAGTACTATGTTGTAAATAGCTGGATTATAGGAATTTTTATGTATCTCAAAGAATGTGTTTACAACATGTACCTAATAAAGTCTAGTTATAAAATAATACTGTATTAAAGACTTTAAAAAGTACTCTAATTTGGTGTTTGAATTTTCCTTAAGTCGGATATTTGGAAAATTTTTGTGGCATTAATAACCAGAAGTGCTTAAACATTGACATCCAAGTTCTTATGGTTGTAATTTCTAAAAAGAGATTTGGATGCAGCCATTTTAATATGAAACTTGAATGTTAAAATATCAGAAATGCCTTTAGATATAATGGTTTTTATTATAATATGTAATTTTATAATTATATAAGTGGTTGACTCTCTTATGAGCCTTATTACCCTGTCTCTCTATTATTTGTGTTGGTAAGAATGACCGTTAAATTCTCTCTCAGTATTGTCATTGAAATATAACTTTAGTCATGTAATATGTGATGTTACTCTGACGTATTTATTACACAACCATGTAATAGTATGGCTGTACTGTGTATATATGTACATGTGTATGCATACACATCTTGTAGTTGATATATAATTTATATAGTAGTTTTTGCTACTTTCCAGAACACTGGGGAAAGTAGGTTTTTATTTGAATTTTCTTATCTACCGTCCTAACCTTCTGCTACCCTTGTTTTTTCTATAAGCAAGTGAATAGGCCTAATCCCTCTTATCTTTGTGCTGCGATATTTTTATGGTACTTGCTACGTTTTTATAATACCTAAATATCTCTCCATGTATTCCTGTTATCTGATTCTGCATTTCTCAAAGGTAGGAACTGTTTTAGTTCTCTCCTTTGGCCATTCTTGCATTGACTATTGAAATGCATTGAATCAATCATATTTAATTAAAAAATATTGAATACAAATTATAGTCCACACATGTTGTGGTAGGTAGTGGGGATAAAAAGATGAGTAAGACACAGTTCCAGCTGAAGAAGGTTTACAATCTAGTGAAAGAATAGATATTCAGGCAATTATAATGCAGAATGATAAGTCCAGTAACAGAAGTTTGAATAAAATATTTAGTGTCCGGAAGAATTGGAGGTGTTATTTGAGTTGCTCTGAGGAGGATGAGTAGGTATCCGTTAGATATGTCAGGCTTGCCAGGCATAATACCAACTTCATTGAATGGCATGTTCAGGAAATAGTTTTTTCAGTATGGCAGGACATAGGATATAGATGGGAGTGAGGGAAGTGCCTGTGATGAGCTTGGAGAGGTCGGCTTAAAGCTCCTCTCTTGGGTTGGTCAATGGGTGATGAGGTTACTCACCAAGTTAGAAGGTATGGCAGCTGCAAGCAAGATGTAGAAGGGAAAGGCAGGTAGAGTTTGGGGGACTTTAGCTTGAAACCCTACAGATTAGTGAGGTAAGGGTATATGATACTTACTTGGAAATACTATCTTGGATTCTTAAGAGTGTTGGGAGTAGAGATAAAAATTTGGGAGGAAAGATCTAAGGAAGAAACCTCAGGGAATATTAACATTCCAAGAGAAGGCAAAAAAAAGAAGTCTGAGAGTGTCTGTGGAATCTTAAGGGAATATCAGGTAGAGTTCCATCAGAAGAGTTTTAGATGCCATAGAAAGAGTGAGGACTGCAATTAGGAGTTTTTATTTTTATTTATGTAATTTTATTTTTAAAAAGATTTTATTTATTTATTTGACAGAGCGAGAGAGAGGGAGCGAGCACAAGCAGGGGGAGCGGCAGGCAGAGGGAGAGGGAGAATCAGGCTCCCAGCCAAGCAGGAAGCCTGACTCGGGGCTTGATCCCACAAACCTGGGGATCATGACCTGAGCTGAAGGCAGATGCTCAACCAACTGGGCCACCCAGGTGCCCGCAATTAGGAGTTTTTAGGTCAGCAAATTCAGGAGAGTTGGGGATGAGATATAGTGTTGGAGGAGGAACAGAATAGATGAGTAGTTTAAAGTGTGAAGGCCCAGTGTGTATTTTCCCAAAAAAGAAATAATTAGGGGAAAAAATTAGCCAAATCACTGGAGTTATTTATAGAAATTATGCATGTTGCATCCAGTGAATTTATTATGATATCCTTGAACTTTGTATATTCTCTTCCAATAATAATAGGGCCCAACAAGTATGATGGCCTACTTGATTGTTTCTGGGCTACTCCTAACTCGACTTAGAAGACCCATTGGTAAAATGACAATAACTGAGCAAAAGTATGAGGGAGAGTATAGATTCGTTAATTCCCGGCTCATCACAAACAGGTAAGAAGAAATGTATTAAATTTGGCTCTACTAAAATTTTGTTTTTATAGATATTGATGTCATATAAGTTAACTCCAAAAAGTCTGGAAGGCACTGTTACCAGAATTGCGTGTGTGTGTGTGTGTGTGTGTATTTACCTCTTTTGAATAATACATTATGAAAAATACCAGTTTTATAAAGTAGTAATCTTCAACATTTCTCTTTTTCTTAACTGTGTAGTATCCCTGGTTCACCTCTTCATCTCTTTTATTGACTAATTTTCTGTTACTTTCACTTTAAACACACTCAAAATACAATTCAAATTCAAGTTTCCTTATAATACTTCTTCAAAGAAAATTCTGTCAGGGCGCCTGTGTGGCTCAGTCATTGAGCATCTGCCTTCAGCTCAGGTCATGATCTCAGAGTCCTGGGATCGAGCCCCGCATCGGGCTCCCTGCTCGGCGGGAAGCCTGCTTCTCCCTCTCCCACTCCCCCTGCTTGTGTTCCCTCTCTCACTGTCTCTCTGGTCAGATAAAATAAAAAAAGAAAATTCTGTCTCAGTTTATCCACAAATACTTTTATTTTGAGACTGTGTATGCTCAGTAATTCAGTCTCACTGCATGTGTGTCTACCTATTTTCCAGATAGTTTCCAAAATAGGAAGAAAAAGTAGTAGGCTTTGGAGCCAGCCTGACTAGTTTCAAAATCTGCCTCCTCTACTTTATCAATTATATATTATATGACTTCTGGCAAGTTATAGCTTTACTTTTCTTGTTTATAATAGAGAATATAGGACTATTGTGAGGATTAAATGTGGAATATATACAAAGCTTCCAGCACAGGTTTTGATATGTAGTAGGTACTCAGTAAATTTTCTCATGTATTGATCTGTAAACTTTTAAGTCATTTTGAGGGTCCTAATCTTTATTTAGTACCCTAAAGCATTTACAAAATTACTTAGAAGATTACTCTTTTAACAGTTCCTTCTTCCTTTATTTCCTTATATTGCTAAAATGGTACCAGTTTTAAATAGGGTTTTGTGCTTTAGGGAGGTGGAGGAGTAGACGGTTGGTTGAGTGGAGAGGTGAGTTGCCAAGTGAATGAAAGATGGTATCAGCTAGAATGCTTTCTTTTGCAAGAAACAGAAAACCCTGACTCAGGTAGCTTAACAATAAAGACATTTACTACTTGACATAAGAACTCTTAAGATAGCCCCATTCCAGGCACAATATGATCAGGGCTCTGGCTCTTTGATGTTCTCTTGGCTCAACCTTCCCTTGTATGTTGCCCCTTTCCTCAGCCTAATTTTTCTTATGATCACAAGATGGCAAAAGCAGTTTCAGATCTCACTAGTCTTCCTCCCCTATAAAAAGCCCAGAAATAAAAACAGGCCATCTCTTCAAGAGAGCAGGGCAACTTTCCCAGAAGCCCCACCCCTGACTTTGTTTCACCTCTCATTGGCCAGAATGATCACTTACCCATGCCTTAAGCAATCAGAGGCAAGTGGTTGGCTTAGACCAAATGGAACTTATTCCTTGTAGATGGGGTTGAGGCCATTCCTAAACCATTTGGTTGCATAGGAAGGGATAGATGAGTAACTAAGAAAATTGGAGTTCTCTCACATAGGAAGAAGGATGTGTAAGAGAATCAGTGATGGATAGGCAGCTAGAGTATTCTGAGTCGTTTTTGCCCTTTCAGGTTTTAGACTGGGGCTAAAATGAGTCAGAAGTAGAATGCTCATCTCATCTTCCTCCATAGGCTTAAACATTCAGAGGAGGTAGAATGAAGTGAGAAAAGTAATTATAGATATAGAATTGTTTCTTAAACTGGAATTGTGATGCTTTGGGGTTCTGTGTTGTTGTGTCAAGGAAATGACGAAACACAGGTCAAACATGATTCATCTTTATACAAAGTTAATTTTGTTTGAAGGGGTTGAGGCAAGAGCTACCTTGTTTTTATAATGGAAAAAAATGCAGGTACATTTTGGAGTAGAATATAAAATTCACTTACATTTTTAAGGGTAAAAAAGAAGCTTTAAAGAAATACTGGGTGTTTATCGAAGGCTTTTTAACTGTACCATCTAGACTCCTGTGTAGATCTTTACTTTTCTCTGCTGTTAGAGTTATTTTTCTGGGAATTTTACATCGTATTGAATAGGGAGTGGAAAGACTAGACTCTAGAGTCAGATGTGAGTTACAGTCTCAGCTGCTTGACTAGCCAGCTGTATGACTTTGACAGACTTGTCTTAACTACACTGAACCTTTCTTCATCTGTAAGAATGCCCCCTTTCTTCTAGTCAAGATTCTTGTGGCCCTTATGGACCCATTCAGGCCAGCTCAAGAAAAGGGGAGTTGTGAGGATATGGTGGAATTCCCAGCATAAGAACGACTGCAGCCGGGGCTCCTGGAAGCTGGCACTGTGAACTCGTTCAGACTAGGTTTGCTTTTCAGTCTTTCAAAGGCTGTGTGGCATGGCATCACTCTGTAGCTTCTCTTAGCTGTTGTGTTCTCCTCTCCCTCCTGGAGGGTCTGTACTCTATTTGTCATCTATAATGGCTGTCCCAGCCCTGCCTTCCTAATGTCATAGCAACTTCCTTCTTATTTCTTATTAAAGAAATTCAATTAATTAAATTTCTGAGAATGAGCCCAGCACATCTTTTCCAACCAGGCTCTATATATGGCATATGCAACATGTGGCTGCTGTGCAGTCTGTGATCCCGTTAGGTGTGTATTTCTGTGCCCTCTGATCAGCTGAGCTAGGAGCAGGATCTCAAGTACAGGACTGGGGCCACACGCACCCATTAAGCTTATAGTCTTTTTTTTTTTTTTTTAAAGATTTTATCTATTCATTTGACAGAGACAGACACAATGAGAGTGGGAACACAAGCAGGGGGAGTGGGAGAGGGAGAAGTAGGCTTCCCACTGAGCAGGGAGCCCGATGTGGGGCTTGATCCCAGGACCCTGGGATCATGACCTGAGCCGAAGGCAGACGCCCAACGACTGAGCCACCCAGGCGCCCCTAAGCTTATAGTCTTAAGTGTCCATTTAAATAAAATATTCAGTCATAAAATAACTGTATTTCAATTATTTTTCAGGCACCGATAATATTAAAATTACTTACTAAGTTATTTTCTTTAATAGTGAAGAAATTGCCTTTTACAATGGGAATAAGAGAGAAAAGCAGACAATCCACTCAGTCTTCCGAAAACTGGTAAGATAGCATGCTTGAGGCTCATGTATTTATGGAAAGATTTGATTTTCTGGCCTATGCTGATCTATATCCATATCTATCTATATAGGTATATATCTTTAATCTTTAAGATATTTATTTTTAAGTAACTATGAAGTATTTTTATACTGTATTTTCATAAAAAATAAAAGAATAAAAACTATCCTATCAATATATTAAGCTTCCCAGGTACAAATATAGGTTGATTTATTAAAATAATTGTCAGTGTATTTTTAGAGATTGCTTAGATGTTGTATTTAGTGATAAATTCTTTTGTTTCTGTAGCATTCTTGAAGATACTATGATGGTTATTATTTAAAGTAGGGGTCAGCAAACTATTTCTATAAAAGACAAGATAGTACATATGTAGTTCAGGCTTTTTCAGACCTTATGGTCTGTACTGACAAAAGTAGCCATGTACTCTATGTAAATAAGTGGGTGTAGCTATGTTCCAATAATACTTTTTTATAAAAATAAATGGCAGCCTGGGATTTGGACTGTGGGCCATAGTTTGTTGACCCTTGATTTAGAGTTAAAAACATTGTTTCTTGCCTGATGAATCACAGACCTGTACCCCTGAAACAAATAATACCTTATATGTTAATAAAAAAAATAAAAATTGTTTCTTATAAAAACTATACATATATCAGTTTTTATTTTCTTGCCATTTGGAAAATTTGAATTCAAGTAATTTTATTACTTCATTTGAAAGATATTGAGTGCCATCTAGGATGCCTGTACTTGTTCCAGGTGCTAGTAGTAATAGTGGTGGACATGGTGTACAAAATCCTACCTCTAAGGAGCTTACATTTTAGTGGAAGCTTGTGAAATTAAATTTAAAATTAAATCCTGCCTCTAAGGAGCTTACATTTTAGTGGAAGCTTGTGAAATTAAATTTAAAATTAAATATATATTGAGGTGATTTAAAAAGCTTAAAGAAATAGTCATTTTAAATGATTTCAGGGGTGCCTGGGTGGCTCAGTTGAGTGTCTAACTCTTGGTTTTGACTCAGGTCATGATCTCATGGGCTGTGGGATTGAGTAGCAAATCTGGGCTCCATGTTCAAAGGGACTCTGCTTGAAGATTCTCTCCCTCTGCCCCTCCCCCTACTCACATATGCTTATGTTCTCTCTGTCTCTCCCTCTTCCTCCCTAAAATAAATAAGTAAATCTTAAAAAAAAATAATTTTAAAGAAATTGGATTTTTGTCTTATTTAGATTTAACATGACTGAACTTTGATAGTGCTCACTGATAAAATGCAGGGAACTGCTGTTCATCAAGCTTGCTGATGAATATGGCTTGCTTGTTCTTATCCGTTAGACTTTAGCTCCAAAGTTAACAACTTACTGTGGCCTTGCTTTCTCTGGTTAGTCTATCTGAAATGGCCTCCACCAGTTACTTCCCAATTTAATGATGTGTTTCCTTAAAAGATGTATTGCAATTTATATTTATCTTATTTGTTTCCTAGTTTGTCTCTTTCATTAAAATGTAAACTTCATGAGCTCAGGGACCTTGTCTGTTCTATTCATTGTTGTGTCTCCAGCATTGAGCACAGCATGTAACACATGGCACTCATTGAATAAATGTTGCAGTCATTGTGCAAAAGATAGTAAGAGAAAGCCACCCTGTACTCAGGAAACTCACATTTTAGTGGAGGAGACAAAAAAACAACAACTGAATATTTTATATGATTCTGGGTAATAATGAATTCTATGACCAAAAATAAAATGGGATGAAATGGTACAGTGTGATGGGGAGGTTGCATAGCTATTTTAGGTAGGATGGCAAGAAGGTCTTTCTTGAGGTGACATTTTATCAGAAACCCACATGGAATGAGGGAGTTAGTCACAAAATAGAACTGTCTAGGACAACAGCGTATTCCTGGCAGAGGGAACAACAAGAGGAAAGCCTTAAGGCAGTTTGAGAAACCAATATTTCTGGAGCTCAGGAAGAAGGAATAACATAGAAGCAGATGAAGTTTAGGATAGAACCCAGTGCCAGATCATGCAGGGCCTTGAATAATCTGATAGATGGAAAAGTTGAGAACATTGAAAGGACAGAATATAAAACATTTTTAGACTTGTAATTTTGAGGTAGTGCATGCTTGATTCAAGCTGCAAACTAGGGGCTATACAGCATTGATGACATTAGCACTTGGTTCAGATCGAGTGTAGTCAGATTCTTGGGGACAGCAGAGACCAGATGTCTCCAACTAAAGCAAAGCACTGAGTGCCAATCTAGACAGGTAGTGTTTTACCTAAATTAGCTCATTCTTCTGTTTTATTGTTGTTTTGATTATTGATCAGTTTTAGTATTTATGTATCTGATAGTATTGTGAATGCAGTATTATATACAAATGATACCACATTAACATTTATATGTAATTTCCATTCTGTTTGCATAAAAATGGTTTCACAAAGTATTTGGCATCTGCTCTGTGATAAGTATTGTGCATGATATGTGATGTACAGTATAATCAGAAACCATAGGCAATATTTGTGGAATCAATAAATTATATAATTTTTTAATTTTCAGTAAATATTTGTGGAATAAATCATGCAGTTTTTTATTTTCAGGGTAGATTCATATTTTTACATACACATAAAATAGAGATTTTTTGTTTTTGCTTTCTGCCAGGTGGAGCATCTCCATAATTTCATTTTGTTTCGGTTTTCTATGGGCTTCATTGATAGCATAGTTGCCAAATGTAAGTATGCTTTAAGAGAGATAGTGGAATGAAATTTGTGGAGAAAGCGAAGTATTGTTAATGTTTAAATCTTAACGTTTTGTTTCAGATCTTGCCACTGTTGTTGGTTACCTAGTTGTAAGTCGTCCTTTCCTAGATTTGTCTCATCCTCGACATCTCAAGAGTACGCATTCAGAACTTCTGGAGGTAAAGTATTAGTAATCAGAGTCATAATAAATTGAAATTTAAATATAAAAACAAATAAAAGCTAGTTTTTAGTCTTAGAAATGTAAGTGAAAACTAGTATTTATTTCTATTTAAGGATTACTACCAAAGTGGAAGAATGCTTTTGCGAATGTCTCAAGCTCTGGGTCGGATAGTTTTGGCTGGCCGTGAAATGACTAGATTGGCTGGGTAAGTAAGATTAGTAATACTGAGCAATTGCAGAAAATAACTTTTAAAAATATGTTATACTTAATGATTGTGCCCAGTTTAGCTTAAGGTAAGGGGCAACTGAAGCCCCATTTCCTATTCCTGCAAGCTGATTTTGATAGGAAAATTAAGGAAGATTTTTCTCTGAGAGGGAGCTTTTCATGTTTCCTTAAGAGAGTTGTTTGAGTCTTCAACCAGGTTAGTGGTTCTCAAGCTGTCTGCTCCATGGACACTAGTATTCGATAAGTTAGAAAATGTTAAGTCAGGGAGTCTTTTCTTAATTCATGGAAAATTAGGTTAATGAATAGAATTTTTGTATTTGAACTTTTTTGTCCTCCACTGTAAGATAAAGATGAAGTTGATTTTAATGGGGGAAGAAGTGAAAAGTCACCTTGTGGTATCTGTAGATGCAGTTGCAAATATGGTCATTCTGTGTAGTAAAATTGTTCTTAGACTATAATATGGAATTAAGTATTTCAGTATTTTGAGCTCCAGTATAAAGGGCTTGATATGGCATAAAAAAAACACCATAATGTAAAAAGTACATCTGAAGAAATTGGATCACTTCTGATCCTTCCCAGGCCTGTGACTCATCCGCATATTTCTTCTTTATTCCTCCTCTTCTATGGCAGTTTAGGTCTTCATGGCAAGATGGAGGAGATTGTCAACTACTATGAGGAGTCTGTTTCTCTTGAGAATGCGAACATTCTTCCTACTTGTCAATAACTTTTCTTATGCCTTTACGGTTCGTGGTAGATGGGGTGCTTCTGTTCCTTCAGGAGGTTTCTGCTTGATTTTCACAGAAAAGTTCTCTTTTGTTTCTTCGATGTAGATTGCTTTCTCTTTGACCATCATGTTATTTTTATTTCCTCGATGTCTTGGCATTAGTTTTGATTTCTATTGCCACAGTGATTTCTTTCTAATATTAAGAACACGTCATCTTTTCTCCCATTTCGGAGTAGGAAAGAGAAGAATCCTCCATGTTTGCAGGGAAGTAGCAGACATTTGGCATATATGTAATAAATGCCTTCCTCACACAGGAAGGCTGACTTTATACTTGGCTGTCTCTCACTCCAGGAGGAACTCGGTCCATACTTCCTATGTCTGAGGAATGTACTAGTACTAGTCCTTGTGTAGTCTCTACTAAAAACCTTAAAATTCTAGTGGCAAACAACCTTCTTGACTCCCCTGTTAATGAAGTAATTATCGGTTGAGGTGGAGATCCTATGAAGCCTCTTCCTTTATCCTCATGTTCCCGCTCTCCTACGGAAACATGATAATAAAGCATTCATACACTATCACTCACACTTCCTGATGATGAGACTTCTCTAGGTTATTTCATTTAAACTAAATTGTAATTTTAGAAATTTCAGTTAAGTTTGAATAAAAGTTTTAAACTTACACAGTGTGCTATATGTCAGTTACATCTCAAATAACAAAAATAATAGTAAAAGATATGGCCTTTGGAGTTTTCATTATGACTTTTTTTTTTTTAATTTCAGTTTTACTGCTCGGATTACAGAATTAATGCAAGTACTAAAGGATTTAAATCAAGGCAAATATGAACGCACAATGGTCTCACAACAGGAAAGGGGTAAATATGAATGCACTAGGTCACCTAGTTTAAGTTTTGGCTGACGTAATGTGATGCTCTGATACTTATTTTTCCACTTAAGGTATTGAAGAAGGAGCACAAGTTATTCCCTTGATACCTGGTGCTGGAGAAATCATCAATGCTGATAACATTATAAAGTATGTATAGGAAAAGTTCTTTAGCACCATAAACATTTGTTAAACTGTATAGTAGCATTCTCTTTCAGCTGTGTTTGCTTAATGTTTAATATAAAATTGTAATTTTTTACCAATTTCCTCCGTAGATTTGATCATGTTCCTTTAGCAACGCCAAATGGAGATATCTTGATCCGAGACCTTAATTTTGAAGTAAGTTATTAAATGATTATATATAAGCTTAGATCAGATTTAAAATGTGAAATGAAAAACTTGTCTGAATATGTAAAATAACTGTAAGGCTTGACTTAGTCTCTGAATCAACAAAATTCTTTTAAAAAATAAGTCTTTGAAACACTTAGAAATCTATCTTTTTTAATTGTTAGGACTTTCAAGTTTCAGATATTACTATCAAAAAATCTTTTGCAAATAAAGGCTGTCACAAAAAAGCCATAGAAGATATAGTTGATTGTAATCTCTGGTGGGAAATGAAAATTTAAACATGCAATGTAGTTTTAGTCTACGTTGAAAAAGATTAGGGTTAGGTATTGTTTTGACTGTGCAGGAGGATCTGTCCCTATACAAACCAGATATAGACTCTGTTCTCACTGAACACTGTAGGAGAGCAGCACAGTAGCACTGCAGTAACATCTCATGCCAAGTGAGGAGTGTTGCTGATTCAGTATAGTCTCGTAATCAAATGGGAATATGGCAGACCCGATTAAAAAGAAAAAAGAGGAGTATTTCTCTATGATTTGTAGGACACTCCCAGGCCTAAGGGTTACTGTTAGGATATATGTCTATTACGACCTTATAAATAGTTCAGATCAGAAAATCTTGATGATTGGTAACAGATTCCTACCATGTAGGCTGTCTCCCCAAGTCTAGAACCCACTAGATACCACTTCTTTAGAACAACACTGTCCCGAACTGTTTGCAGTGATGGAAATGGTCTCTATTTGCTCTGTCCAATATAGTAGCCACACTTGAAATTTAATTTTAATTAGATCTTAAATAGCTACACATGACTGACTAGTGGCTACCATATGGGATGGCACAGCTCTAGAATTCCTTCCCTCTCCATGCCTACACTATGTATGTGACCTTCTATAATTTGTGTTGTATGCAAAGATTCTTTTCAATTGCTTTCACTTTAAGAATGTTGTCTTATGATTTATAAAATAAGTATAATTATTGGATTTGTTTTTAAATTTTTATAATCTTAGGCAAATCTTCAATTTTGTTATTCTTAATAATGTATATTTTTTAAGTATATGTCCACTTTCTTTTTAAGGAACTATAAAAATAAAAAATGTTAGTTAAGCAAAGTACTTTGAACTTATTTGACAATGAGTATTATATATTGCCATATTTATCTTCAAGCCAGGAAATACAAGAATATGTAGAGAAAATGTAAATATAGTTGGTAAATATTGAATGACTCCAAGTATTCCAGAAGTGTTGTCTCATTTAACTCTAGGTGCTCTAGTCAAGTTTGGTGTGCAACCTTGGCACAGTAGGTAGCCACCCCACCAGACGATTTCAAGATAAAGCAGAGCTCAGAACCGCATCTGTGTTAGATTTTCAGTAGCTCCCTTATTGCCATTACCCCAGGGGAAAGGGGGCCTGGGATTTCTCCAGTGAACAGTCCTCTTGGCCCTTTCTCCCACTTTCCCTCGCTCTTTCTTTATGCAGAAGTAGGTTTCACTAGCAATACAGATGTATACATAGATTAAGCATAGTGAGAAGGGGTTCTTCGGGATCCGTATGTACACATACATGGAAGAGATATGGCGGAGGAGTAGGGGGCCCTATTTCAACCGGTCCCCTGAATTGAGCTGGATATCTACCAGACCATTCTGAACACCCACAAAATCAGCCTGAGATGTAAGAAGATAGATCTGGATCTCTACAAACAGAATATCTCCGGCGGTTGGTCTCGAGGTATGAAGCAAGGAGCATGATTCTCTGGGCAGATATCAGAAGATAAACGGAAGGGGCAGGGAGCCCCCGTGAAATTACGCCAGGAAGGCAAAAGTCTCCTGCTCTGGAGACCGGGCACAGACTCACAGATGGACTGGTAGCCGTGGGGAAAGGACTTTAGGGCAGCCTCCCAGACTGAAACCTGGAGCTATGGGTTTGTGCGTGTAAACCGGGGGGGTGGCTGGCGGTTTTAGAAGCACAAAGGGCAGAGACATGCCCAGCCCTGGGAGTAGCAGCTGGGAGCGCTCTGCGGGGCGCACAACCCAGGAGGCTGCAGTTTATAGCAGCACAGACAGAAATGGTGCTGGCCTGGAGAGCTCACTGAAGAACAGACTGCAATCTCTGTGTTCTGACACAGAGGTTTGGATGCAGTCACTTCTGCTTTGACTCTTGGAAGAGACTCAGAAAGCCGCCAGAGAACAGAAGCCCCCCCAGAACAGTTTTCACTGAGCCCGCCCCCCCCCCAGGGGGCAACCTCTGCCCAAACAGGGTTGCCTGAGTAACAGCATGGCAGGCCCCTCCCCCAGAAGACAGGCTGGAAGAACAAGAGGCCGACAACCCTAAGGTCCCTATAAAACAGGTGCATCTTGCTTGGGTTGTGGTCAATACTTTGGACTCTCCATTCCTTCAACCACCCCTCAACAGAATGACTAAGAGGAGGAACCCCCAACAAAGGAAAGACTCAAGAGACTGTGGCTCCTGCCCCAGAACTAATGGATATGGATATAACCAAGATGTTAGAAATAAACTTCAAAGTAACAATTTTGAAGGTGATATCTAGGCTTGAGAAAAATATTAACAATAATATAGAATATCTAAGGGCAGAAATGAGCTCTAATCAGGCCAAACTTAAAAATGCTATGAATGAAATGCAGTCTAAACTGGATACTTTGACTGCCAGGGTAAATGAAGCAGAAGAACGAATTAGTGAGCTAGAGGAAAAGATGATAGAAAAGGAAACCGAGGCAGCATGGGAGGAACAAATTAAAACCCAAGGGATCAAACTGAGAGAGACTAGTGACTCAATGAAACATTCCAATATCAGAATTATTGGGATTCCTGAGGGGGTGGAGGGAGAGAGAGGTCTAGAAGTTATATTTGAGCAGATTGTAGCTGAGAACTTCCCTAATCTGGGGAAGGAAACAAGCTTTCGTGTCCAAGAGGCAGAGAGGACCCCTCCCAAGATCAATGAGAACAGACCGACACCATGACATATAATAGTACAATTCGCAAATCTTAGATCCAAGGAAACAGTCTTGAAAGCAGTGAGGGGGAAGAGATTTCTTACGTATGGAGGGAGGAACATCAGAATAACGTCAGACCTGTTCACAGAGACCTGGCAAGCCAGAAAGGGATGGCAAGACATATTTTGGGTACTAAATGAGAAGAACATGCAGCCAAGGATACTTCATCCAACAAGGCTGTCATTCAGAATGGAGAGAGAGACCAGGAACTTCCAAGACTAGCTGAAACTGAAAGAATATGTGACCACCAAGCCAGCCCTGCAAGATACCTTAAGGGGGGTTCTATAAAAGTAGAAAGACCCCAAGAGTGATATAGAACAGAAATTTACAGGGACAATCTATAAAAACACGGTCTTCACAGGCAACATGATGACAATAAATTCATATCTTTCCATAATCATTCTCAACGTGAATGGCCTAAATGCTCCCATGAAATGGCACAGGGTACAGATTGGATAAAAAGACATGACCCATCCCTATGCTGTCTACAAGAGACTCATTTTGAACCTAAAGATACATCCAGACTGAAAGTGAAGGGATGGAGAACGATTTTTCATGCCAATGGACCTCAAAAGAAAGGGGGGTAGCAATTCTCATATCAGACAAATTAGATTTTATGCTAAAGACTGTAGTTAGAGATACAGAAGGACACTATATTATTCTTAAAGGGTCTATCCAATAAGAGGATCTAATAATTGTAAATATCTATGCCCCCAACATGGGAGCAGCCAACTACATAAGCCAACTGCTAACCAAAATAAAGAGACATATTGATAATAATACGTTAATAGTAGGAGACCTCAACACTCCACTCTCAGCAATAGACAGATCATCTAAGCAGAAAAATAAAGAAACAAGAGCTTTGAATGACACACTGGACCAGATGGACCTCTACACCCTAAAACAACAGAATACTCATTCTTCTCGAACGCACATGGAACTTTCTCCAGAATAGAACACATACTGGGTCACAAATCAGGTCTCAACCGATACAGAAAGATTGAGATTATTCCCTGTATATTCTCAGACCACAGTGCTTTGAAACTGGTTCCCTGTATATTCTCAGACCACAATGCTTTGAAAGAAAAAATGTGGCAGAAATTCAAACACTTGGAAGCTAAAGACCATCCTGCTTAAGAAAGTTTGGGTCAACCAGGAAATCAAAGAAGAATTTAAACAATTCATGGAAACCAATGAGAACAAAAACACATTGGTCCAAAACCTATGGGATACTGCAAAGGTGGTCCTAAGGGGGAAATACATAGCCATCCAAGCCTCACTCAAAAAAATAGAAAAATCGCAAATACACAAACTAACTTTACACCTTAAAGAACTGGAGAAAGAACAATAAGTAAAGCCTAAGCCACACATTAGAAGAGAAATAATTACGATTAGAGCAGATTACAATGAATTAGAAACCAGAAATACAGTAGAGCAGGTCAACGAAACTAGAAGCTGGTTCTTTGAAAGAATAAGATCGATAAACCACTGGCCAGACTTACCCAAAAGAAAAGAGAAAGGACCCAAATTAATAAAATTATGAATGAAAGGGGAGAGATCACGACTACCACCAAGGAAATAAAACAATTATTAGAAATTATTATCAACAACTATATGCCAATAAATTAAGCAACCTGGAAGAAATGGATGCCTTCCTGGAAACCTATAAACTCCCAAGACTGAAACAGGAAGAAATAGCCTGAATAGACCAATAACCAGTAATGAGATTGAAACAGTGATCAAAAACCTCCCCAAAAACAAGAGTCCAGGGCCTGATGGATTCTCTGGGGAATTCTACCAAACATTCAAAGAAGAAATAACACCTATTCTCCTGAAGCTGTTTCAGAAAAATAGAAGGAAAACTTCCAAACTCATTCTATGAGGCCAGCGTTATCTTGATCCCAAAAAAGGCAAAGACCCCATCAAAAAGGAGAATTATAGACCAGTATCCCTGATGAATATGGATGCCAAAATTCTCAACAAGAT